CCCCGGATGCTATTTTTAGCACAAAAAGGAGGACATGTCCGGGTAAATCCGGACGAATGGTAACCCTAATAAGGGTAAGCAGCTGGTGCGCCGGGACACTTTGTTTACTTAGGTTTACCTCCGTGCCTGCGGACGCTCGAAGTAAACAAACCATCTCGGACCACCAGCGGCTGATGGACCAGGAGCCAAAGTTTGCTGACCCCTGTATAATAGGGTCGGCTTATGAACAGGTCATAAAAATTTTCCATTTTTACTTATCCATCTTGGGGGGGTCGGCTTATAAACAAACTGGCTTATGATCCAATATATAGGGTACTTTTTAGTGGCACAATCTATAACATTAGTTGTGATACTGTATTGTTCTCTGGTTCCCGTAACCAACGGGAATACAGTGAATTACATGTGTGCTAGCTTCCAGCCCTGTCCTATTGTTGAAGGAGTTGAAAGCACTCTGTACTTTTGCAGAATCAGATTACGTGCCTATGTACACACACAGAGATAGCTGATCCTTAGTTAATGGATTAAAATATAACAACTTGCCAAGCACTAACACTGTTCTTCCCTACTTCACGTACCTGTTTTATTTTCACTAGCCATTATACTCTCTAAAAACTAAATAAAGAGGTGGTAGAAATTACATCTTTTTCCTTCAGAAATGTGCCTGTTCTGCTTAGGTTAGGAACCTTCTATAAAAAATGGATTCAGTTAATATGTACCACTCACACAGTACCAACCTTTGGCTTTATCGCTATGATTTATACCAGCCAGTAACTTTCATAGCAAGGTGAATACTCCTTTATAGTGACAAGAGAGTGATTGTGCAACATGATTCGTTCTCTCTTTACTACATGGACATACAAACAAAATTAGGAAATAAGGAGAAATTAGGAACATCAGCATAGAATCTTGGTGTTTGTACCTGTAGAATTTAGAATGTAGGGGTCTGGAGATTTTGAGAAGTGTTTTAGCCCAGAGCATGACTTTCTAAAATGTAGGCAGGTTATGTAGTTTGGGAACCCGGTGGATGATGAAAATTAAAATGATAAAAATGGAAGCTCAAGGAAATTAGATCATATTTTGGGCTTAGACTTGTCTAGACAGTACCTAGACAAAACATCTAAAATCGATCCATTCTCTGACATGAGATAGATTTGTTTGAAAACCATCAAATAACTGGAGATTCTTAGTCAATGAATATTCTTGAGTTCAATTGTATAACACTGTTTTCAGGCAATAGTTATTATCAGACAACCACAAAATGCTCCCACAGAGCTCCCTCATTCAGCACAGCCATCAAGCTTATAGCACTAGTCATAGTAAAATCCCATTCTTCTCGGTATTTGACACTTCAGTAGTCTTTTAATAATTCTGTATTTTTGTGGGCATTTAGGGCATGATCCTGCTCCCATTCAAGTCAGTGGCAAAACTTCCACTGGTTTTAATGATACAGGATCATGTCTTTACTCTCTAGCATTTTACTGTTTCTGTAAATATGTATTAAATGGCTTTATTTAAAGATCAACAAGAAAAAATGAATGATCTCTTTTTATTCTGAACATGATTGTAATAGAAAATACTACACTGAAAGCAAAAATATTCCATGGGAAAGAGAACAGAATTTTAGTCATAGCATAATTTTTCTGCTTTTGGAAAACAAAAATCATATGTTGTGCTCTCCTCCTGGTCAAACACTATCCACAAGAAAAAAGGGCACCATCATTTTTGAACAGTAGTTAAATATGTCACAGAATGCAGGTTTCCAGCAGCTGAACACTTTTACTATGATTATTTTATTTAAATGTATTTATATGAGCATCTGGTCAGCTTTAGGCTGTTGCTGATTAGACAATAACTGAGTAGAGCAGTTGTTGTGTAAGGATGTGGGATGTGGCTCTAGAGATCAAATGGGTCACTTTCCATATTGATTGGTGGGGCTGGACTGCAGAGATAGCAAGTGAGCTGCTGCCTGCTGCAGCTTGTTGTGTCCCTGCAGTGCAGAAACCTACCTTCCAAAATACAGGTTGACTTTTAGTCTCTGCTCCTACTCCCTATATGCTAGCAGCTGCTCCGCACAATACACAAGGATTCTATTACCCTCGTCTGTGGAAAGAGCCACTGAAGGAGGACTCTGGTGAGAAATGAACTTCACAAGGAACACTTCAAACTATTTGCCCTGAATCACTCCACCTATTCCATCACTGCTTTGTTATAAGGGCTATGCCAGCCAGCAGTGCTCCCACAACCTCCTCAATGAAAAGGGTTCCAGCATAGAAGAGAATCATACATACATAAAATAATTCATTCTCTCAGCCCATTTCATCCCCTTCTCAGCCATCATCAGCAAGCCCTGGAGAGCCTTTTGGGGCTGATGTGGATGTGATGACAAGAAGGCAGCTGACACCACCTCCCTTTAACCCTGGACATGGTAGGTCACATTCATTCAGGAAATACAGAGGGTTGTCAGGCAGGAGGAGAGCAATTAGGCACCAAATACCTTTATCTGTGACAGTCCATAGAAAATCAATAGGGATTAAAAACAACCTTTCTTTTAAAAAATTCTCCAATATTTTACAGTATTTCCCCATATTTAACATTGGTTCTGAACAACTTATGAAGGGGGTGGTAGTCTTATAAGGAAATCTTAGTGTTAGGTTTCTTATCTGGGGAATTGATATTCACAGGGTACTGTTTCTTGTTGATCAGCAGTAGCAATTTAATGTTCTACTCCTCTGTTTTGCCTGCCTGCACATTTCTTGAGGGGAGTAGGCATGGTATTGAAATATACACGAATCCTGCTCTCTGAGGGATGGAGCAATGTAAATACACCCACAAACTTAAACAAATATGACAGGTCTGATTACAGATCTGCCAGATTTGACAATGTTTCTGTAATGACGGCTCGGAGGAGGAGGAAAAAAACCACAAAAAAACCCTTCTCAGCTTCTTGTAGTCCTAAAGGTGGTTGGACATAGTACATTCTCCATGACCTTATTGAAAGGATTAAACTAAAATACACTTCTTTCATTTTGTTACCAAGCTAATGTTGGTTCACTGTTGACTAGTAGAAAATAATACAAATAAAATACATTCTTTCAGACTTTATATTATTGGCTTTGATGGCTGGCTCTTAAAATGCAGTACATATCGAGTGCTACTATTCAGTTGAGACAGACTACTTTATCAGTGCACATTTCTGAATCACATTTTATTGCAAAATGTTTTTAATTCCTCTTTATGCTGCAGGAGATCCTACAGCAAAATTGACCTGCAACACAGCGCCCTCTGGTGCATGCACAGAGAAAAGGAAAATAGGCCAGGTGTTTTAAGATACAAAATGTATCAGCTTCAAAATTCTAAACAAACTTATAATAAGTTACCAGTAATTTGATTGAACACTGGTAAATAAATAAATAATATTTTCCTTTTCTCTAATACACGGCTTCCTGTTTACAAAAAAAGCTGGAAACTGCCACACAACAATCTGTGCAGAACAGGTACCTGTGTAAACCATTTTATGGGCTTAAGTGCAGATAGGGGGGCTGAATTATGGGAGAAGCTGACAGATGGCCTGTACTGTATTTGTTGAAGCCTCCTTCCCTTGGCTGGTGGAGAACTGTTTGTCTATGTCCAGAACATTAAGAGAGAAAAATGTCTCTTCTGTCAGACTTCCCTCCTTTTCCCTTTGTCTCATGGGCCCCCCTTTTCCCCCTCCTTTCTCTTTACCCATAGGCTCTCTACCATCCCATTGTATTCTCCCTTCTACTTCCCATTTCTTTTTTTAAAGATAACATATTTGTTAATATACGTCTTGAATTGTTTACCTTGTCATAGTGACAAGAACAATGTAGCTCTTAGTTGACTCAGCAGAACAGAGGATTGGCAGGCTGCAGACAATCAGCAAAAGCAATTCTGCAGTGAAACCTGCATTTTCAAAACTGGCCTCTAATTTTGGGTGCCTCTCTTTTTGTCTATTCAATCATAATCAGGCCAACCAAATGCCTGAATTCAGAAGGGCTGAGCACCCACAGCTCCAGTCAATAGCAGCTGAGGGTGCTCCGCATTGTGGAAAATCAGGTCCTAAGGAATGAAGAATCCAAAATTAAAAGCTGCTTTTGAAACCATGGACCTACCTATATTTAAAATCTTTGAGTCATTTTAAGCTACCGATACTGAGTCTGGGTGAAATCCTGGCCCCACTGAAGTCAATGATTTGTCATTGGTTTCAATCAATGTAACTACTTGAGAAGCAAGGTACTATTCTGGTTGAACAAGGGTGCTCTGATCTATCCCTCAGCAATTAGGGAAGAGAAATTAATGTCTCAGGATATTATTGGGAGTTAACGTTACTTTGCAGGAGAGCCCAGGAATTTCAGGAAGACATGGTTGCTGTCAATTATTTCCAGATCAACTTTATCAGTCACCAAAATCTCTTAAGACAAGACAAAAACAGCATAAGCAAACATTTCCATAATATATAATGCAAAAATGGCCCTACATATATTTCAGCAATTAATTCGTCTATGAATTTGTTTCCACATCTGACACTTTCCCTTAAAAAACAAACAAACTCTTATTATGTATGTATAACTTCTAAGGATGAAATCTCTGTAATTGCCTTCCCTTTGCTTCATACCTGTAAATCTTGTATCTTGTGCTAAATCCCTGTCGACTTCTGTCCACAAAATCTGTGTATTCCTGTGAGCGATGGAAGGGTCCCTTATCAGAGAGGAGCCAGTCGAAGGAGCTTGTGGCATGCTGATCCGAAACGGCAGCAACCGCTAAAACCCAGCAATGAAGACTCAGTGCTATCCACTCCCATAGAGCCATCAGAGAGAACAATTCAGCACCACCACTGCATCGCCATATCATGCTTCCACTGTGGGCTTAGAGTCTTCATTCTCTTAGCTTTCCCTCAACACCTAGACAAAATATACAGTCAATTAGATAAGTACACACTAGTCATTCCTTGGAAGCAGATACAAGTTTCCTTTCTTTCATCTTAAAGAGACAGTGGCCTCTATTTTTATTACATTTATTACATTTTATATTAGCATAAACCCATTAGGCTAGTTAACAGCACACGGTTTAATTTCTCAGTATTCTGTGCTATTTCCCTGTTGCATGGAAACCTCTAACAGATGTATGTTTGTTTCCTAAAACCCTACAAACAAGCAAAGGAGGAGTTATTACCTCTTAACACTGGCATACACATATACATACATTCCAACAACACATATGTATAAAAGATAGGAAGACTGGTCTAGTGGAGAGAACAATGGAGGGATTCAGGAAACCTGGATTCAATTATTGCTTCCACCAAAGACTTTCAGTGTGACCATGGAAAAGGCACTTAATTTTTGTGTGCCTCAGTTCCTCATCTGTGAAACAGGAAAATGCCTCCCTTACTCATGGGGTCTTTGTGAGGATAAAATCTATTCATGATTGTGAGGGCCTGATAGATACTGTGGTGCTGAGGGCCATAAAGGTACTTAGATTGATTAAAACATTGTAGTTGTTACCTTCAGTTCATTTTGAATCAGCATGGAATTGAATAGAGTCTGGTTCTGTGATCTTTTTTTCTAGTGGATGCATCTACAAAGAAAAATGTCCTTTTTATTTGTATTTAAATATGACAGCAGCCGTTATAATCATTTTTACAAAGGCCCCTGCTGTGAACTTTTTATCTTGGCCGGGAGTATTATGGTTGACACCAACACCTTTATCTACAAACAGTTCCTAAATGAAGTCTATTTTCATATAAAATAGATGTATTGCGGTTACACATTTTCTAATTATTAGTCCATTATAAAAGAGGTGCTGTAGCTGAATAAAGATGTGCCATGCACTTATTCTAGACAGTACATTAATTACTCCAGAAAGTCCTGGGTATGGATCATAAACACATCAGCTGCAGGAAGCCAATTGGCTCAAGCATGGAGCAATAGTAGATTTGACCCAAGGAGCCCCTATAGTCTGAGGATATAAGCATCATCCTGTTCGTGTAACCAAAGGAACAGTTAAGGTTTATTATACTTTTCTAAGGCATGAAGATGGCTATTGACCATTTTGGTCCTGATCCTGCAAACACACATATGCTTAACTTTAAGCACATGAGTAATTTCATTGAAGTAAATGAGACTATTTGCATGTTTCAAATTAAGCAACTGCAGAAGATTCGTGGTCACCAAATGCAGACTGCATTATAAATCCTTTTTCCTTTAGAATTCAGGAAGCTCATTTAATTTCTCACGTGGCTGTTTACATACTCAAAAGCTTCCAGTTTCTGTGTGCTGAACATACATTTATGCACAGAACACGAAGATATAGCAATTTTCTCCCCAGATTTGATTTTTCTCTCCACAATCTGAAATCTATTAAATATGATGTTCAGCAAATTGCATGACAAATCAGAAGGAAACGGAAGTGACACTGAAAAGCTAAAGTTTATAGCAATGCAATCTTGACCCTCCCACCCTGCAAAAGCTGCTATGGCCATTTGGTTACTAGATGTTTTCCTGTTAACCCTTAGTCCCAATTTAGGCTAAGCAAAGAAGCCATGATAGCAGTGTTCTACCAAGAAGAGTAATTTCAGCAGAGACAACTTGACCTCCCTGTCCCCACAGAGCTGAATTATAACAAAACTCCCCAGTGGGCAGTGAAGAACAAAACTGTGTTGCATAGGCAGCTATGTTCCCTTCATCTGGAGGCCTAGGACAGTCTCCCATCATAGACAGCAGCAAATGGGAGTAGGAGGACTCTGATTTGTACAGCTAAATTCCCCTGACAATTTGCCACTAACAGTTAAGACATTGATTCCTTTTAAATTACTTTTTTTATGAAATAATAATGTTTTAAATTGCAAGAATGAAAGACAAGAAGTTTACTCTTCTGGGTGCTTCTTTCAGACCATTAAATTATAATGATGACTGATTGAGTTGCTTGATGTTTTAAAAAGGTAGATTTAATGTTAGAACACTGATTACTTATGTACTTGTAGCATTTTCCTATATTATTTCCTTAATATACTCTTGAATAAGTGCGGTAAAGGATCCTATACTGTAACTTGCTACAATGCTACACCTAATAGAATATCATAAATCAAAGAGCTGCATAACAGTACTGAAGAGCCTGGTATAGTCTATGAAGCAAATAATCCACTTTTTTAAAAGGTATCTATATTTTAGTCTAAAACAGGAGTTTAAATATGTGTTTACTACTTACAGACACTGTAGTCTCATAGAAACTACTAAGTACACTATATATGTTTTTAAAATTGTACATTTACAAATTGTGTACATCTTACGTTGCATCTATCTAGCAGCTTATATGGTCCAGGCACCGTATTATTTGACTATTTCCAAATCATTAGCATATTTATCTTCAAAATATCCCAATAAGGTAAAGGAGGACTATTCTCCACGTTTTACAGATGAGAAACTGAAAAATAAAGAGACTAAGGGTATGTCTACACTACCCACCGGATAGGCGGGCAGTGATCGATCCAGCGGGGGTTGATTTATTGCATCTATTCTAGACACAATAAATCAATCCCCAAGTGCTCTCTCATTGACTCCTGTACTCCACCGCCGTGAGAGGCATAGGCAGAGTCAACGGGGGAGCGGCAGCAGTCGACTCACCACAGTGAAGACACCGCGGTGAGTAGGTCTAAATACGTCGACTTCAGCTATGTTATTCACGTAGCTGAAGTTGCGTTACTTAGATCGATCACCCCCACACCGCTTAGTGTAGACCAAGGCTAAGGGTAAGATTTTTAAAGCAATCTTAGGGATAATTTCCATTAAAAGTTGACTCCATAGGACAGCTTTGAAAATCTCAGGCTAAGTGATTGTCCCAAGCTTGTGCAGTGAGTCTGTGATGTGAACTCCAATCTCTGAGTCTCCATACAGTGCCTTAACCACAAGACCATCATTCCTCATGGTCATTTGTTTTAGTTACCTTTTCTTTATTAGGAAGGGATAGCACCAGGGGGAGAGAAATGTTGCTGTTTGAAATAAAACACACGCACACAGAAAACAATGTTCAAAGACTGTTACAGGACTGATAGAGCGAACAAAGCCCATAGTTTGAATCCCTGTCAGAGAGCTTCACCAGAGTCTTCCATGAGGCATTAAGTTTAATGTGGAACTCCTGTTGACTTGGGGTGTGTAATGTGAAGACAGGGACATCTGCTGGAAAATAGGGATCATGGATTTTAAACTAGAGGAGGACACTGATGTAATCATGCAAGAATCAAAATATTGCCTCTCAAAAGTGCTGCCTCAGAATGGGATGACTGAAATGAGCACAGATATTTTTGCAAAATTATTTGATCCATGACTGAAGGGTTCTATTCTTTCGCCTCTTGCAGACACTGAGCATGTAAAAAAAAGTTCTCATCCTTCTCTCTTCTAACTTTTGCGGTAAAGTATTATTCAAGGAACATGATAGGCCAAACTCCTCCCTGGTATAAATCCAGTGACCTTCTTGGTGTTACCTGGGGATGAATTTGACTCAGTATCTTCTTGGGATATCAAAGCTCGATACTCAGCTTGTGTAAATTGAAGGCTATGGAGCTATGTCAGTTTAGACTAGCTGAGAATCTGGCCCCAACCAGGGCAGACCAGGTATTGCCACCAACACAAACTTTACTAGTTCCAGTATTCATAGATAACATAGGGATTCCCCTTTGTCAGTTGAAGAATATTTTGTTTTTAATGTATTGATTTCATATAATTATATAACACTATCATGAAAACCCACTAGGAAACTAAATAATACCCCAGACAGAACAGAATAGAAGTGTCTTCTTGGGCCCATAATGCACTCTTTTGCTTACCGAACACAAATTGCTAATTCATATGTGATGAGGATAGAGTACACAGAAGAAGCATGGAGCTATCTCAGTTATGTAATTAAGATGTGGGCTGCTTTGTGCAGGAACATCTTAAACAGCATGTTCAAGAAAAAGCAAATTACGCCAACTTAAATCCTCACAAGAAAGAAATAATGTAAAGTCACCTTAAGCCAAAATTCATGGTATCCTTAACAAAACATGGTATCCTTGACTTCTTGGTCAGGTGGGCTGTGGGTGTTAAAAGTATTCTATAAAAGAGATATGTCTGTAGATAGATAGATAGTTTGTCATATATTGGTGAATAAGAATGTGTAGCCTTACATAATACGTTCAATAAAGTTGTTTTTTATTAACCATAAATGACTGCCTGTGTGCAGTTCTTAACAGTGGGAGCAAAGTGTCCTAGCGAGTTGCACTAGTATGTCTTTTAGAACTGTGGAAAAATAGAATGTAATGACAGACTACATACGGTAACTGCTCACTTAAAGTCGTCCCGATTAACGTTGTTTCATTGCTGATCAATTAGGGAACATGCTCGTTTAATGTTGTGCAATGCTCCCTTATAACGTTGTTTGGCAGCCGCCTGCTTTGTCCACTGCTTGCAGGAAGAGCAGCCCGTTGGAGCTAGCTGGTGGGTGGTTGGAACCAGGGTGGACTGGCAGCCCCCCTATCAGCTCCCCGCTCCCTTAAGTTCCCTGTGTGGCAGCCTCCCAGCAGGCTATCAATTGCCTGCAGTTCAGCTGTGCCTCCCTGCACTGCCTTGTGTTGCTCCTGCTAGGGTTACCATCCGTCTGGGTTTCCCCAGACATGTCCGGCTTTTTCAGCTTTAAATGGCCGTCCGGGGTGGGATTTCTAATAAAGTAGAAATGTCCGGGATTTCCCCCTTCCCCTCATGCAGAGTGCAGCACGGCTGATTGGACGGCTGGGCCTGATTGAAAGCCGCTCACAGCCACTGGGGCCTCTAGCAGCCAGAGCCCCTCCCCCTTCCCCCCCACCCCCCGCAGAGCAGCGCCACAGCGTTTGGCTGCACATGGAGCTCGCCGCTCTCCCTCGGCCTGGTGGAGGGGGGCAGGCAAGGGTCAGGGAATGGGGGGGTTAGATTGGTTGGGGGTTCTGGGGGGGCTGTCAGGAGAAGGGGGTGTAGAGAGAGGTTGGGGCAGGCAAAGGACAGGGAATGGGGGGGTTAGATTGGTCGGAGGTTCTGGGGGGGCTGTCAGGAGAAGGGGGTGTAGAGAGAGGTTGGGGCAGGCAAGGGACAAGGAGCAGGGAGACTTAGATAGGGGGTAGGGTCCTGGGGGCAGTTAGGGTGAGGGGGGTCTCAGGAGAGGGCAGTCAGGGGACAGGTAGGGGGTAGGGGAATTCTGAGGGGGGCAGGAAGTGGGAGGAGGTGGGGCTGGACCAGGGCTAGGGCGGTACCCCGTGTCCTCTTTTTTGATTGTTGAAATATGGTAACCCTAGCTCCTGCCCTCTGCCTTGGAGCTGCTCCCGGGAGCCTCCTGCTTGCTGTGCAGGGGAGGAGGGAAGAGAGGGGCTAATGTCAGGGTGTCCCTCTCCCCCCTATTCCTGCCCCCCGCTTACCCCCTCTCCATATACAGCAGGGTAGGGACAGGACAGGTCTCAGGATAGAGAGGACTTGCTGGCCACAGCTGCTGTCTCAACTTCCTGATTTTTTTTTTAAAGGAAATGTACTTAGAGTGGGGTCAGCGTACTTAAAAGGGCAATGTGTATCTCTCTTTCT